GGGGCGCGCGCGCCGACGTCCGCGCGCCCGCCTGGCTGCGCTCCCGCCGCGGGCGCCCGCGGTATATCTCGAAGGCGCGCACCTCGGCGTCGGGGATCAGCACCTCGGCCACCGGGCGCACCCAGCGGCGGGGCAGCCGCGCGGGGTCCAGGCGCACGATGGGCGTCTTGCGGCTCGGCGGCCTCTCGGACTGCGCCGACCCGGAGTGCCATTCCGGGGTGAGCGCGCGGAGGAGGGACACGGACCCCGACGAGAAGGCGCGGGGCCGGCCCTTGCCCGCGAGGTCCGGCCGGTCCCCCGCCCCGTCTGGCTGAAGCAAGCACTGGTAGAGCTCCTTCACCGAAAACGCCGGGGGCCCGGCCTGGGGCAGCCCCAGGGACGGCTGGCGACTGTGGGCGCGCGCGACCAGGGACTCCTTCGAGGACCTGGCCGAGGTGTGAGTCGGCTGGAGAGACTCCTTCGAGGACACAGCCAGTGTGTGGCTGCCCTCCTGCCCGTCGGGTTCCTCGAGGGCGTCTTCAGGCTCAGCTTCCTGGGACGTCTCGAAGATGGGCGTGGGTCCCCGGGTGCCCCTGGACTCAGACGGCTCTGAAGACTGTGTCGGCTCCTGGGACTCTCTGTCCGACCACGGCGACCCCGAAAGGAACTGGTCCGGGTCCCCAGGTTCCTAAGGAAACACACAAGGGCAGGGAGGCGTCGGCCGGGGGAAGGGACCTCGCTGCCTGCCCTGCGCGGCTCCGGAGGAGGCTTCTGTCGGAAGGAGGCCCGGGGCTCGGCTTACTTCGCCTTGGGAGTGCTCCTCCACACCGTCGGGCGCCGGTGCGTGCAGGACAGGCACGGAGCCCTGGGCCCAGGCGTCCGTGGTGCATGCCAGGGGCTCCTCGTCCTCGCCCCACGTGGGGTCCTCGGCCACTGCGGACTCTCCCTCATCCCGGGCCAGGAAGCGCCACTCAGTAATCTGCAGCATGGCCTCTCGGGCCTGGCTAATGGTGAATGGGACGCACTGCGGAAGCGAGGGAGGGTCTCAGCCTCGCCCGAAGAGGCGGGAAAGATACAAGACGGGTCTCAAGACCCAGGTCTAGGCCCACCTGCTGGGTCAGGTAAACTTTGAAGACACACTCCATGACTCGAGCCAGAAGATCGGCCAAGATGTCCCCCACCACGTCCTCGCCCTCCTCCAGGGACGTAAACGCGATCCACTCCGCCTCATTGAGCCGCCCAGGCACGATGTCCACCTGCGGCACCGGCTGGGTGGGCGGCCGGGCTTTCTCCGCCTTGGATCGAGTCACCCCACGGTCTCGCGCCTGCCTCTGCGGGGACAAAACGGGCGCTCAGGACAGGAACCCGAGGGGTGGGGCTGATGGAGGCGCTGGAAAGACGCTTTCGCAACATGTTTTCTCAGAAGGAAAAGGAATCGGGACAAGGTGCCTACACGCCTGCGATGCGGCGGAGGGACACTCTAGGTGTATGATTCAATCGAACAGCGCACTGAGCTCGCTTTACTGGCAGGAAACCGACCCCTGACAGAAGTTAGCCCTCACAAGTCGCTCAACTCACAGCTCTTGCCGTTTGCCTTATTACAGCTTCCCAGTTCTTGGGAGTGCAAAGCACGCGGCTCTGTGAGTCAGTGAGGTCGGGGGCACTCAGGCTCTTCTGCTTTGCTTTGGTTTTGAGCAGTCTTGTTCTGTAGCCCTGGCTGGCCAGGGAATTGCTATGTAGACGAGGCTCACCCCAGACTTGGAGCAGTTCTCCTGTCTGCCCCCCAGAGCCTAGGATTCCAGACGCGTGACACCATGCCAAGGTCTCAGCGTCTGTGCACGTGAGTGTTGTGGTCCTCGGGCTTGAACCCGGGACACTACACTTACTCTGTCATTGAGCTAAGTCCCTAGACCTCTTTTTACTCTCCCCTCTCCCTCCAAGACAGGGTTTCTCTCTGTAGCTCTGGCTGCCCTGAAACTCACTGTGGAGACCAGGCAGGCCTCAAACTCACAGAGACCCGCCTGCCTCTGCCTCCCAAGTGCTGGGATTACAGGCGTGCGCTGTTACCCATGGCTCTCTTTTCACGTTTTCTTTTCAGAAAGATCTCATTAAGTTGTTAAGGCTGGTCTTGAACTGACTCTAGTCCAAACAAGCCTTGAAATTAACCTGTGATCTCTTTTTTTTTTTTTAGTTGAAAATTCATACAATACATTTTGATCAGTTTCCCTTCCCCTATCTCCCATACCCTTCTCACCTCCCTACTCATTCAACTCCAGGGTTTCTTTCTTTCTTTCTCTTTAGAAAACAAACAGGCAAATTAAAAATGCAGACAAACCGTAATAGTAACCACAACACAGCAGTGAAAAAGCACAAGAAGGCCAGCACGGTGGCCCAGCACTTGGGGAGGCAGAGGCAGGCGGATCTCTCTGAGTTTGAGTCCAGGACAGCCAAGGCTACATACACAGAGAAACTGTCTCAAAACAAAACAAAACAAAACAAAAAAGACCAAGAAACACAAAAACAAAACTATAAAAGCACAAAATCAGAAACAATAATATACAAGCAAAAGATCAGAAACATAAAAAATGCACAAACAAAACAGGATCAGTCAAAAAAGAAAAATAGTCTACAGAAGCACTACTCAGTTTGCTTTATGGCGACCATCTGCCCTGGCACTCGGGGCTACCCTGCACTGTAGCTCATGTTCCCAGTAGACGGCATGGGGAAAGCTGAGTTTTCCTTTGCCGAGCGGTTGTCATTTGGAAAGAGCTTCATGGTTAGGAGTGGGTGTCTGTGTCTACCTGGCCTCACAGTGCTGGGACCCCATCTGGTAGACCCTGTCCCTGCTTCTAGTCTCTGTGAGTTCATCTGTGTCTCAGGCCTGCTGAGCTCAGCAGACACTGCTCTCTTGATGTCACCCACCCCTCCGACTTGTCCTTTACTTCAGCCTCCCAACAGAGTAGCCATAGGACTACAGGCCTGCACTACTGGACCCTCTTTAATCCCTATTTTGATTTGCATTTCGTGGAGTTTGCCCAAGATCACACCTGGGAAGCAGTATAGTCGGAATTCAGACACAGATTTGTGAAACTACAAGACCTGACTCTTGCTTCCCAAACAAAGATATTTGCTAGAATACGGAAAAGAAAACCTTGCCCAGATATATGAAAAATTTAAAAAGAAAAAGAAAATGAGGCTGTGAGATGACTCATTGGCACTTGCTGCCAAGCCTAATGACCAAAGTTTGATTCTCAACACCACAAGGCTTAAGGAGAGAACCAATCATGTAAGTCATCCCCAGCCTCCACTCATGCACCACAGCATGCCTCGCCCCACCCCCACCAAATAAAAATCATTAAAGGCCCCTGTGACGGTTTGAATAAGAACAGCCCCCATGAGTTCATATTTAAACTGTTTAGGAAGGATTACGAGGTGTGGCCTTGCTGGAAGTGAGTAACTAGTGGCCAGTTTGAGGTTTCTAAAGCCTGTCATTTGCGGTTAGCTCTCTTTGCCTTGTGGTTGCCTCAAGAGGTGAGCCCTCAGCTGCTCCTCCAGAACTGTGTCTGTCTGCCTACTGCCCTGCTCCCCGCCACTTTGTCATGGACTCAGCCATTTCGAACTGTGAGTTCCAACTTAAGCACTTGCCTTGGTCATGGTGTTTTGTGACAGCAATAGATAAGTAACTGAGAAAAGCCCAAAAGTAAACTAGGAACATACATAATATTCTACAAAAGAGATGTAGATAAGTAATAAATATGTGTAAGATGGACAGACCCAGGTGTGGTGACGCACGCCAGGAGCCCCAGCACCCAGGAGCCTGAAGCAGCTGCCATGTGCTCAAGGCCAGGCTGGGCAAAAAGTGAGACCATGAAGGAAGATGGTTCCTTCCAAATTTTACCTCCAAATACAAGCCTTTACCTATCTGCCGACCTCAGATTTATTGCTCCATAGTTTGCATTCCCTGATATTCATTCTCCCAGGCAAGCTGGCATTTCCTGTCCTCTGCTCTCCCAGACACTGCGGCCTAGTGCTGGGAATAAAGCTATGCTCCTTAAGCCCAGCCTAAACCTTTAAACCCAAAACAAAACTAAAGGCCTCTCCTCCCAGCTGTGACAGAATGCACCCGACGAAACAAGACTGGGATTTTTTTTTTAATCTTTCATTTTCCCAAGATTCAACCAATCTGTTTTATCTCTTAAATGCCTTGACTTTGGGAGTAGAAGAGATGACTCAACAGTTAAGAGCACTGGCTGGTCTTCCAAGAGGACCTGGATCTGTTTCCCAGCACCCATATAATGGCTTGAAATTGTAATTCCAGTTCTAGGAGTTCTGAGTCCCTCTCCTGGCCTCTGCAGGCATCAGGCATGAACGCTGCACAAACACATGCAGACAAACACCCACACACATAAAATAAAATTGGTCTTAAACGGTTTGGCTTTTGACAGTGGGATGGGAGGGTACTGGTATGGGAAGAGGCTATGAGTTCAAGGCCAACCTGGTCTGTATAGTGAGTTCTAGGCCAGCCAGGACCACACAGTGAGACCTTGTCTGGAAATAAAAGGGCAGCTGTGGCAGCACATGCTTTTAATCACGGCACTCTGGAGGGCAGCCGAGTCTATGGAACCAGGCTCTGTCTCAAAACAAAACAACACAACGAAAAACCCAGCAATAATGATAATACAATAAATTAATTTTTAAAGTCAGCTTCTGAGTTGTTGAGCCATTTCATAGCCCTGACTTTGTCAAGACAGTGACTCACTCCTCAGGCCCTCTCCCTAGCGCCTGATTCTGGTTTACCCACCAAAACGGGGTCCTCGGCGTAAATGAACTACTACTTGTACTAGCAGGTCAGCGGCTTCCGAATTTGCTTGCTCTTGGCCTGGCCCAGCCGTTGACCCTTTCCCTTGGGAACTGAGGTGTACCATGCCCACCTCGAACCTAGCGTTATTCCACTTCTGGAGATCGGCCAACCACAGTTCTCGTGCACGCCCCAAGCAGAGCTGAAGCTCACCGAGCCTTCGTGTGACATGGTCGCGACCGTCGCTCCAACGCGGAGTTTCAGCGGCCTCTAGGACCCTCCATCGCAGCAGCGGCAGCGGCCGCAGCCCAACGGTCGCCTCGGCAACCAGGCCGCGCCGAGGGTCTCCGGCGCGGTCCACGGTTGCCTAGCAACCGCGTAGCGCGCGCCGCCCGTCCCAGCCACAGGCCCCGCCCAGAGGCCGTGCGTCCGTGCGTCGTCTCTATGGTGGCGGCGGATTCGGAGGGACCTGAGGATCACCGCGTCAGTCAGGCAAGACGGACTTGGGGATGGGGATAGGCTGCAAGTGTGACCTCTGACCTTGGCGTGGGCCTTCAGGCAGCCAAGCGGTGGGAGGAGGGCTGGAAGCTTTATTGTGTAGCAGACGATCGGTCCTCCGAGGTCTTTCCATCATCATTCTTCTGTAGGATTCCCTGGGGCCCTGGGCCTGTGTCCTGCCTGGTGCGGTCCTCTCCGCCTTGTGACTATTATCCATTCACTTTCCTCGTGGAACCTATCAATCCAAGCTCTCCCTCACTGTCTCCCGATTGCATCTCTCCAAGCGTCCTCTGTGGCCTCCCGGTTTCCCGCCCGGCGACTCTAGTCATCTTTCTCCTAGGATGTTCCGCCGCGAGCGCTCCCTCCCGCTCCGCGGCTCCGCCGCAGCCCTGTCTAACAACCTCAGTGTCCTGCAGCTTCCAGCCCATGATCTCACGCATTTTGGCGTGGTTCACGGACCGAGCGCCCAGATTCTCAGCGCTGCCCCCGAGGGTGTGCCCTTGGCCCAGCGCCAGCTCCAAGTCAAAGAGGGCGCTGGAGTGAGTCCCCCACTCATCACACAGGTGAGGCAAGGGTGAGGGGGATGGCGTAAATCAGCTCTACCCTCGCTCTTGAATTCCGTAAGGCTCTCGCCGCCTTACGTCCTCAACTGTAACGTGCGTCCCTCCAGGTCCACTGGTGTGTCCTCCCCTTCAGAGTCCTGCTGGTTCTCACCTCACATCGAGGGATACAGGTGAGAAGAGAACCCTGCTGCCCTCTCTGTCCAGCCCCACAACCCGCCCTCTAAACACTTCAAACTTCCGGTGTATGGAGCCCATTCCTGCGCTGTTTTTCGTCTTTATGCCTTCCATTTTCTTCCCTCTTCAATTCTGCTTTCAGCCGTCCACCTCCTTTCCTAACTCTGTAGCCTCAGTGTCCTCCTCTGACAACTAGGGATAAGCCTGCCTCCCAGAACGAGTTTGAGGATTACATGGACTCGGGCTAACTTGGCTGTGTGAACTGCCCGGCCCAGGGCTCTGCGAGGGTCAGCTGGATCATGCTCCCTTCCTTGCCCCATCTTGCAGATGTATGAGTCTGACGGCTCCGTCATGGTCTATTGGCATGCCTTGGACTCAGGAGATGCTTCCTCAGGTACCTTCGGGACCAAACGGGTGCCGGGAGGGAGGGAAGAGGTCCCTGGGGCTGGGTGGAGTGCCCTCTCTGAGGGCTGCTTTTGTATTCAGTACAGGCTATGTTTGCCCGAGGAATCTCTGCCTGTGCTCACTTCATCTGTGTGGGTGAGAAGAGTAAGGGCAGGCCTAGGGGCTTTGCCCAGGGGGGTGCGGAGGGGTTGACGAACTCAGGGAGGGTTAGAGGGAATGTGGGGACTCTGAAAAAAACACCTAGAGAGGGGTAGACCTGGAAAGCCAGGCCTGCGGGGGTCATGAGTGTATTGCTAAGACTTGTGGGGTAGAGGGAGTGCTGGCTGTGGTGACTGGAGACCCGGGGGGTCAGGAAGCCACCAGTGGGACGCTGGTTCTGGCTACAGGAACGTGGTCCGGTCGGGTGCTGGTGTTTGATATCCCCGCCAAAGGCCCCAACATTGTACTCAATGAGGAGCTGGCTGGGCACCAGACATCAGTCACAGACATTGCCACCGAGCATGCCCAGGGGCCGGTGAGTACATTTCCTCTCCCTGTTCTTGTGGCCCTGGGAGGCCTGGGTTTGGGTCAGCTATGCCACTAAGCAGTTGTGGCTTTGGGATCATCCACACTTTCTTAGACGTAGCAGCCTCAGGTCTGGAGAACAGCATGCTTTCCATTAGGTGCTGTTTTATAAAATCACCAACACTCCCCAATGCTGGTATGAATCCAGAAGTTTGTTTCCCAGATACAGCTGTCTCAATGCTGACAGCATAGTTTCCTTCTCTGGACCTGAACAAGTTCCCCTATTCTGACCCGGCTCCAGGGCCAGCCTTTCCAGAACGGTGTCCCCTGATTCCACCTCTGACCTCCCTTAGCTTCACTCAGAGTAGGCCCTACCCTCCCAGGAAAACAAAACAAAACAAAACTCTTTCTTTCCTGCTTGGATTGCAAACCTCTTGAGAACAGGCTGTGGGTGTTACAGTGTGTACCCTTCACGGCACTGGAGTTGTCCGCCTGGCTTCAGGTCAGGAGGTCTAGGGACTGGTTGTGACTGGCTCATTGCAAACCTCCAAAAAGTCAGGCCATGGTGGCTTTAGTCGTGTCACCGATCCGGAAGAGACAGCTATACATCATCTTCTACTCCATGAGGGCGGGGAGTTGTGAGTACAAAAAAGCACCTACAGGGAACCTCTGTCTGAGGCACTCCTGGAGAAGGGTCTGGTGTCTTGAGCCAGTGAAAGAGCTACCTCTTGCCCTTTCCCTGTCGAAGCAGAGAGGCAGGCATGGCTTCACTTCCCTCCTGCCATGTACTCTGGACCACACACTGTAAAGGGAAGAGCTGACCCCTATTCTCTTCTCAGGACGGTGTTGCTGACATGGTGACAGCTGATGACTCAGGTGTTTTGTGTGTCTGGAGGTCAGGACTTGAGTTCACATTACTGACCCGAATACCAGGATTCGGGTAGGAGAGGCAGAAGAGGGTTATGGCCCTTGTGAGGTAACTTTGGGGTGGGGAGTCTGTTGGGGTCTGAAAAACCAAAATTGCACATTCCCCTTGCAGGGTTCCATGCCCCTCTGTGCAGCTGTGGCAGGGGATCGTGGCAGCAGGGTATGGAAATGGGCAAGTACGTCTGTATGATGCCACTACAGGGACACTCCACGTCCAGATCAGTGCCCATGCCCGGAGCATCAGTGCCCTGGACCTGGCTCCAGAAGTGGGCAAGGTCAGTCTCCTGCATCGCTAAGCACCTTTCCTGGTGCTTAGATGCAGCCTCATCTCCATACTCGGGGTAACTCCATCCCTCACAGCCATCCTGTCAGGGCATTCTGACTCCCTGCCCATCCCTCATGGCGGTCTCTTTTTCAGCTACTCTCTGCAGCTGAGGACACCTTTGTGCATATCTGGAAGCTAAATAGAAGCCCAGAGACTGACTCTGTTGAGGTGCTGTAGAAGGGTGGGAACGGGGACCCAAGCATCGAGCAGCAGGACCGACCAGCCCTCTTTTTCCCACAGGTGGAACATTGCCAGGGTGAATATATTTCTGACACCCAGGTGTGTGGGGCGCGGTTCTGTGACCCTTCAGGCAGCTCCTTTGCTGTGACAGGTTATGACCTTGCTGAGATCCTGAGATTTAGCAGTGTCTGAGGCAGGAGCCACCTTCCCTTCTCCCTTGGTATTTATAAAGTATTCCCTCCACCAAGCCTTTGTCTGTCCACTCACTGTCACAGCCAAACTTCTAAACATCAAGCTCCAGGGAGAACAGAGGGGCAGGTTCAGAGCACACAGAAGCCACCGATCCTCAAAGACAAAGTGAAGGCTGCTAGCAGTTAAATAACTTTAATGGTAGATGTCCAGGTCACAAGGGAGACCCTTTTCTCCCTCTCTCCAGTGCTGCCCTCGAGGCTGGTTAGTGCAGGGAGGCAGGGCAGGGTTGTTCCAGTTTTCCCCCAGGAAGAGCTTAGAGGCTCGCAGTAAGCTCCAGGAATGGTCTCCTCAGTACCATGGTAACCACAATTTAAGAGGGGTTTCTGTTACCCCTCCCCAGCCTTCCTTCCTAGTCCAGGGGAGGAAGGGGAGCTGGAGCTGGCCAGCTGGCCCCACAGTGCTGGGCCTAGAGCGCAGTTGCCCTTCGGCCATTTTCTTTCTTGGCCACATCCTATTGCTGGGGCCTTTTCTCACACCGGAGACTGGAGCCATGTACGGAGCTGACTTTTGCTGTAGAAGTTTCTGGATTGTGGGGATCGCTGCCGGGGGAGGGGAGCAACCGAGCGAGAAGGCCCAAGGGAGTGCTCTGCAGGGGCAGCATCCAGGGAAAAGGTTCGGGGTCGCCCCCAGGGCAGGGCTTGCGTCCAGGTTGGGACTGGGGCCCCTGAGGCAGGCGAGCAGGAGCTAGGCAAGGCAGGTTGGTCTGTAAACATGGCTAGCCAGGGTGGGGGTGGCTCCAGCCTCGTGCCCTCCCGCTGGGCCAGGATGTCAGTCACAGCTGCGATGTCATCTAGAGGCTCAATAGCTGTGGCACCAGGGAGGGGGGAGGGGAGGGGGCTAGTCAGAGCTCTGGCCCTGGCCTGCTCAGCCCTGACTGTCACCTGTCACTGTAATAGGAAGAAAGCAAGGCCCGTATCTCAGCTGAGATGGCATTATTCTGCAGGAGCAGCCCCTCACTGGGACCCCCTGAGGCCACAGGCTCTGATAAGACTGTGACAGTATAGTGGGAGGTAGAGGGAGGAGCGGAAGTGTGTAAAGAAACCAAGACAAAAGGAGAGAAAGCAGTGCCGGGCAAGTGAGGTCGGAAGAGGAGACGGGAATCCACATGCACAAAGGGAAACAGAAAAGAAGGAGTTAGGATAGACGTCCATGAGATGGACCTGGCTCTTTGGGGTTGGTTTTGAACTCGGGTGGAGATGGTTTTAAGACTTGGAGAGAAAGGGAGAAATGCAGTAGGGCTGAGTGGACCTGGACCCTGTGGTGCGCTTCCTCTAGGGCTCTATTGCCCCTTGCGGTCCCCACCCACTTCCCATCAGCTCCCCCACTGACCTTCCTCTCACTTACCCATCTCATGGTATAAGGACCCCTGCTTGGCCAGTGCTTGGGGGGGCTTCCGGGGTGCAGGAGTTTCGATCTTCATGACTTCATCACAGCACTGCTTCCACTGGCCTGCCAGGAAGGAGAGCGCCCGGTGCAGCTGCCCGCCTCCTGCCACATTCCCCGCCTCCTGCCACATTCCCCGCTCTCACACAGCATTCAGATCCCAGCCCTCCCAGAGGTTCAGCCCAGCCCGTCCATCTTACTCATGTCAAAGAAGAGCTGCCACAGTGCCTCCATCCAGTTCTGCAGGGCTTCTCTGCTCTCCACCTGGAGAGTGTTGGTCACCTCATCCTCGCCATACCGGTTGCTGATGCTAAGGGTGAAAGGCCACTCGGGGGCCTGCTCCAGCTCGCCTGCCCGGACCTTCGTCTCCTAGAGGAGAGAGAGGGCTGCCGTCAGCGCCACCCTGATCAGCAAGCAGCCCATCACTCCTGCCTAGAAGGACCTGTGGGACTGGAGATAAAGTAACTGCTGAGGCAGGGGAAGAGCAAGTTGAGACAGAAAAGAGGGACAGAACAAGGCAGAGAGGGTATAGACATAGACAAGAGCACCAAGGTCCAGATTCGGGTTGTCCACGCAATACTTCCAAAAGTAGGGTGTCTGGGGTGCAGAGCAGTTTGCTAGAGCACTTGTCCAGCACACACAAGTCTCTCGACTTGACCCCAGCACCAGACAAAGTTAAACAAACACACAGGAAAGCCACACTATGGCTAGCGAGCATAGCAGCCCAGTCGCACCTACGTAGGCCTCAGTGCCGTGGGATCATCACCTTGTTGATGGCGACAGTAAACCGCGGTTCCTGTCCCGTGTCTGCGTCCTCAGCTCTCCCGTAACAAAATAGGTTTGTGCCTTTCAGCACTCCGTGCACGAGCGTCCCGTTGTGTAGCTCCCCGGCTTGCTGCGGGAACAGCTCCGTGTTTTCTCGGGAGGCCTGCCTGCCCGCCCACCCAGCACCTTTTTCCCGGGCCCGTGGACCCCATGCTCCCAGCACTCACCCTGCTGCCTTCCCTCCCGTCCCCTTTGTTCCCCAGACCCACATTTTAATCATCTCATTATGAGGTTGTCCGGCTCTGTCCATGTCCCCTTCCACTCCTTTAGGACCCCTTACCTGCACCCTGAGGGTCCCACTTGCAGTAGGCTGAGTCATGCAGAGAGGCTGAGCGGCCAGGCGGCAACACACGCTACCATAGAGGGGCAGCCACACGGGACTCTCCTCTGGGGGAGGGGGAAGCACAGGGTGAGGACAGGAAATGAGAAGGGGACTACCCCACCACCCCACCTAGCAGTACCAGTACCCCCAAGACACACATACCATGACTGGCAAGGGTGAGGTCATGTGTACGGAACCCATCTTGCACAGCCGCTAGGGTGAGAGTGTTGTGAGCCAAGAGGTGGTATCGAGGACCTCTGGAGGGAGAAGGGAGTGGGCTGTGGTAGCAGAGTGCTGCGCGGCTGCGCAGGTCTGACCCGCTGCACCGAAAACTAGCTGCCTCCTGCGTCCTGACTCGAGCTAGGCACCTAGGCCTGCACCTAGACATCTTATACATTATTGCAATGAGATTCTGGCAGCTCCGTGGGGGCGGCTATTCTTCAGCCAATGGCTGGGGCAGCTTCCTCTGGGGCCCAGTAACTCCAGGTGACGGTAGGCTCTGCCAAAGAGCACGGCCCAGCTCAGAGCACAGTCCTATATACATCTACGCTGTGTTTGGCTTGGGCATGGGTGTATGGGTGGCACACGCGTGCGCACATACGTGGAGGCCAGAATGACTTTGGTGTCCTCTTCAGTTGCTCTCTACATGATTTATGAAGGCAGGGTCTCTCACTGACCCTCAGCTTGCCAATTTAACTAGTCTAGCTAACCAGCTTGCCCTGGGCGATCACCTATCTCTCCTCCCGTGTAAGCCCTGGGATTGGGTTCTGGGGGATCAGAACTCCAGGCCCCATGTTTGCAAGCAAAGACTTTATCCACGGAGCCATTTTGCTAATCCCCATTTTTGGTGTTTTGAGGCAGGGTTTTACGCACATCAGACTGGCCACTATGCAAGTGAGGATGACCTTGAACATAAGATCCCCCTGCCTCCACCTCCCAAGTGCTGGGATAACTGATGTGCATCACCCACCCAAAGCTCCCGTATGCTAGAGAAGCACTTCATCAGCTGAACTATGCCCCAGTCCAAGATGTTTTCGTGGCTGTTAAACACCCAAAACCCTGTCTCTCCTTGCCTCCCCACTGTCAGTCTTGGAGACTGACTTAGGCCCAACTCTAGGGTTACCCAGAACACCTGTTCATTCAGTGTGAAGTGGTCACCAGTGAGGAGTTGGAGTAGCTGAAGGCAAGTGGGTAGTCGGGTCTTACCCCACTGCTGGGGTAGGCAGCAAGATGGGACTGCTCCCGGAGCCCCCAGCACTGTCCAGCGATGCCCTGACACGCTTCCCTGAGGAACGGCCCAGGGAGCTGCTGAGTTTGGTGGCAAGCCTCTTGGGGGCACCAACAAAGGCCCCCTCCTCTTCCACACAGGCCCCATACAGCTCCAGCCGCAGTTCAAAGTCTGGCCCTGCCTCAGTACTACAAAGGTGCAGGAGAGAGGGAAGCTCGGGAGAGCAGGGGGTGAAGATGGGCATACCCACAGGACAACTCCACAGGGACGCCCACGGCCGCCGCCATCCCCCTCCCCACCTCCACCCTCAGAGCTGCCCCATAGGAGTGAGGGAGGAAAGCCAGAGCCACGGGCGAGGCACTCACAAGAGCACACTGCTCTGAAAGGAGATGTCTGTGAGGGTCCTGTCCACCAGGACCATCTCTGTGTCCTGAATCTGTTCCCCCAGCTGCAGCAGCAGGAACACAGCCCAGCGGTGCAGGTCTAGGAGTAAAGGCGGGGGTGGGGAAAACAGAAAGAGCTTTAAATTGCCCACAAGAGCCTCCACCTCAGGCAACACTCTTGAATTTGTCCCAGCATGGGGCGCTCACCGCCTTTGTTCTTGAAATACTCCGTGTCCTTCCACATGAGTGGGATCCGGAGGTCTAAGGGGCAGAGGGGAAGGAAGAAAGGTTAGGGTCGGGTTAGAGGTGGTGGGGTGGAGCGAGGGATGCCACCAGGCTGGGCAGCTGTATGTTTCTTACCAGAGATGCAGACCAGGCCACGGCAAGGGGAGCGCTCAGGGGGTGATGCACTGTCAGGTCTGTGGGGAAATAGATCAGAGTCCTGGCCTGGTCTCACACTCCCCTCCCCTTCCTTCTGACTCTCAAGGGCTCTAAGAGCCCCCTGACCCCCATGGCAGGGCCAAGGGACTGGAGGAGAGCTATGGGCAGAGCTCAGAGGTCGCTAGTGTTAGGAACATTTGAACAATGTTAACACATGGGTATAGCATACAAGCTCAGGCTCCTCCCCCTCCTGACCATCCAGACATCTGCCAATGACGGGTGGGCCTCAAGGGGACAGGTGCTACCAGAGAGTCCCTTTCAAGTCCCTACCACCGTCACTACACCTTGGGCTTGGAAAGGATGGCAAGTTTTCTTTGCAGCCCTAGGGAAGCCACTTATTCCTGCCCATCTCATTTGTTTGAGAGAGAGGGTCTCACTCAGTAGCTCAGGCTGGCCTCACACTCAGATCCTCTTGCCTCAGTCTCCCATGTGCTGGGATTACAGTCATAAACCACCATGCCAGGCTTTCATCTTGTCTTTGTTACGAGTCCACAATATAGCATGAATAGCGATGTGTTTAGCTGCTAGGGAATTAGACGGACTTTCACATTCCTACTGTGAGGCCTGTGTGGCCAATCTGCGCATGGCTACCTCACAGAGCAGCCTCCTGCCTGCTTGGCTTCTTGCTGAATGAAGCAGCAATGGGATGAGTTGTTTGCTTGCTTGCTTTCTGTGGGCTTCCCGGCCAGCCCCTGGCAACCTCTCCCTCTCTCCTCCATGCCAGCGATAGGCTGTGGCCCTCTTTCATGTAGCCTTGATGAGGCAGGCAGTTCTCCAAACGACTCATGTACCAAAAATGGCCAATCCTCGGAGTGATCAATTTGCCAAGTATTTTCTCTCTAGCATTTTTACTTGCCCCTGGCCATCTCACGGGTGACCTGTCGGATTGGCAGGGTGCACCGCAGCGGTGTTGCAGTGTGGGGTCACGGTGTGAGGCGGGCTCTTTTGGAACACACAATCTAATTTGTATGAATGGGGGCCTTCTTTTAAGTGATTTTTAATTTTCTGCTTTCCCAACTCCTGCCTCTGATAGTGAGCCCCACATTCAACAAGCTGTTGTCAATTTGTGGTAAATTGGCCATTTGGTGAACTGGCTCTGAGAAAATTAGAGTTCCAGAAACCACCCAGCCAGATAGTAGATGATGGGCAGGCCTCACCAAATTAGCATTTTGACATTACTTGTGGTCTGGATTGGCAGCTTCCATCGGATACACTGGCTTTCCTCGTTATCCAGCCGCTCCAGATAGCCCAGCACATGTTAAAGCACCAAGTGTCTCCGGGCCAGGACAGTGTCCGTGAGGAGGGACACTCCACCCAGGCACTTACTGTACCATGGACACGCCTCCCCCCGTCAGACACCTCCCCTCCCATGCTCACCGGCCTGTCTTCCCCAGCACCTGGGCTTCCTTGCGCCGCTGCAGCTCGCCCATGTAGCTGAGAATGCGGCTGTTGCACACCAGCAGGCTCTTGGTGGCCTCCAGAGCCTGCTCTCGCTGGGAGCAGGCCGCCAGCAGCTTGCAGGCCCCTTCCCTCATCCGAATCTCATGATCTAGTTTCCTCTGCAACTCTGTGTCCTAACCGGAGTCATGGGAGGGAAAGGAAATGACAGTCAGGAGCAGGCTGAGGCACTGCCCCACCCCACCCCAGTCCCAAGGGGGCTATGGGCAGGAGAGGGGAGCCAACAACATTAATGCTTCACCAAAGTCGAGAGCAAGCCTGCCATCTCACCCTCAATTGCCCAAGAGGGGCCAGAAAAGCTTCGCCAAGTAATACACTCTCATGTATTTGATAGTGCAAAGTATAAACTCTTTCTGCCTCTTCGACCACAGTTTGGAGAAATCGACAAGAACTACAAATTCATATATCCTCTGACCCAACTATTCAATAATCAAGTGTTAAGTCTACAAACACAATCACACACGTAACTGCCAAATCATAGGCACAAAAACATTCACTTAGCACTTTTATTTATGGGTACGTGTATCACACATAAGTGCAGTAACCACGGAGGCCAGAAGATGGCGTCAGATCCCCTGGAGTCTCATACCTCACATTGGTGAACTTAGACTCTCTGGAAGAGCAGCAGTTTTTTTTACTGTTAAGTCCTCTCTCCAGCCCCAAACATTGTTTTAAACACCCAAACTAAAAGCCTTTTGATAAGACACCAGTTAAATGAGTTACAGCTGTACAGATAAATAGTGCAAAAGACTGTGGTAGACCTGTGTAGATGTGACTCTCCAGAAAACATAGCATTCCAGAACAGAAAGAAAGACAGCATTATACATCAAGGCAGGCATGGTGTCACACATCGGGGTGAGCCTGATATCCACACCTATAACCGGGCCCTCGGGAGGGAGAGGCAGGAGGACCAGTAACTTAGGGCTGTCCTCAGCTACATGGCAAATTAGAGGCAAACTATGAAACTCTCTCAAAGACAAAATACAAGTACTACCACTTGAGATCTGCGTCTGTGTGATACCATATATTTGCACATGGGTATGTGTATTTACACATTCGTGAGGCTGAGTTTCCAGAGCTCAGGAATGGAAACAGATTTGTGGGCTCATTCAAGACGCATGTCACTTGCAGAGTCGCCCATGCTGCACAGAGCCCCCTCCACACCTCACATAGCGCTTCTGCCACCGCCGCCTCCCTGAGCATGGGAGGGGAGGTCAGGGCTGAGGAGTGAAGAGAGGGAAGTAACTGGTCCGGGGAAGGGCAGAAGAGAGGCTCTGAGAGAAGGGCTGGACAGGCATGGAAGGGCAGAGGAGAGGCTGAGAGAGGGTGCAGGGAGAGTCACTTGGAAAGGATCAGCCTGGAGCTTAAAATGCAATTGGCATTTGTCTGGGGCTGGCTGTGCACGCCGCTCTGGGTGGGGTTCCCAGTCATGCATAAGCCCGACGTGGTGGTAGCTCTCAGGAGGTGGAGGCAGGAGCACAGTGAGTTTGAGGCCAGCCCGGGCCTGGAACCCTGTCTCCAAACAGGAAAGTATAAAAGGCACTAGGTAGTCAAGCATAGCGATGGAGTCCTGTAATCCAGCGTTCAGGGAGCAGAGGCAAGAGGGCTGCCATGAGTCCCAGGCCAGCCAGGCTACAGATCCAGCTGGTTTGCAGCTCATGCCTCCAAGGACTATTTTCTGGGCCACTGCACTAGGTCAGATTTTCACGCCAGCACCACCCGCCCTATTCTCTTCCCAAACAGGTCAACTCAGCCCCCAAATCTTCCAGGAAACCCCCCTCCCCCAATCTACAGCGCAGCTCCTAGCTGCCACGTGGCGTATTACTTTACTCCACCTTGGTCTTCCAGCTTGGTGAGGAGCTGGGGAGATGGCTCGGTGGGCAGGGTGCCTGCTGTACAAGCAAGAGGACCTGAGTTCAGATCCCCAGCACCCATCTGAAAGCCAGGCATGCATCCCTGGCCTTTAACCCCAGCTCTGGGGGCAGAAACAGGCAGGGTTGCTGACGGTCAGCCAGTCTCACCAAAACCTTGCACCAAGCTCGCTGAGAGACCTTGTCTCAGAAGATGAGGAAGAAGGACAGTGAAAGGCTCAGTGGACACAGGCAACTGCTACCAAGCCTGAGGAATTGAGTTCTATCCCTGGGTTCCACCTGGTGGAATGGAAGAGACAACCACCCCGCAAGCTTTCCTCTGACCGCCACACTGCTGTGGCCTGCATCCCCTACACACACACACACACACACACACACACACACACACACACACACACTAATAGACACTAAAGCTGGACAACGTGGCGTGGCGGCACACACCTCCAGGCCCAGCACTGAGAGGCAGAGTCAGGTGAATCTCTCCAAGTCTGAGGGCAGCCTGGCCTCATAACAAGCAAACATGCACGCACACGTACGCGCACACACACGTATACACCGCAGGCACACAAAACGAAGATGAAAATAGTTGTGGCATCCTAGTGTCGAAAGACTTGTGTGAGATTCAAGCTCAGTGTCTGGCACAGAGTATTTGGCACATGGCAGGGACACGGGACTTAGCAAGGAGGCTACTTTGGCAGGCCTTTTAGCCAGCAAACCCTGAAGCCTCCCTGTGCTGCCCACGGCTCCCTGTCTGAGCCCCAGCTGCGAGGCAAACATGCATAGATGAACGGCTACTTCATAAGTGCCTTGTCATGGCGAAAAAACACAGGAAACGGCCCCTGCTGGCTTCTGCTGAGGTGACAGGGAGGAGGCTTCAGAGCCGAGGTGCACAACGTCCTTCAGGGATGCCAGGCAAGTGGAGGCACGCAGTTGGGAGAGCCAAGGTGACTACACAAACCTGTCTGCCCCTCACACGGCTCTCCTCCATAGGGTATGTCCTGCCCTGCCTCTGGTGTCCAGCCTTCGTGCCAACTCTTCCTACCCTCTCTGGTGCTTTGTTGGTTTGGTTGGTTGGTTTGGTTGAGGGTGGGGCACAGCAAGGCCAGGCTTTATCACAAATCACTCCAGCACCATGTGCCTTTTCCCCCAAAGCCCTCTCCACCAGGAAGCCCTCCCAAACTACTTTCTGCTCCCAGCCACGCTCTGTATGCACCAGGGTTCTGCCATGGCTAGGCGAGCTGCTAGCCCACCCCTCCCCGGCTCTGCACGCGGTTCCTGTCGCCAGTCCCCCCAAATGAGGGAGACCAAGGATGCATCCTCAAGCTCCTGGCTAGCTAGTCCCCCTCTGGAGCCAAGCACTCACCGATCCTTCCCTAGCCCTGTCCATTGCGCTTGCAGCTAGCTCGGGGTCCGGGCTCACAGCTACCGGGGTGGCCAACGTGGCCCCAGGACGGCGTGGGAATTGAAGGATCCCGGGCGTCGCCGCTGCCTCACCGCTTGGGTAGGCTGCGCCTGGAGGCGCCGGTGACATCAGCTCCCAACTGCCGCGAGAGGCGCCAAGGGCGCCGGGCGCGGGCGCTCCCTGAAGGCTCCGCGGTGCGGCTCCGCGGTGCCTGCATCTCTACCACCAGGAACGGACGCGACTGCAGGGAGCGCCTGAGCCACCCCAGAGGCCTCTCCCGAGCAGGCTTCTCTCTCCAAGGTGACCCTCTTCCAGGAGCAGGGTGTGGATAAGAAGCGAGGTCGCTGGATCCAGCACGGGCCGCAGAACTGCACCTGAGGGCAACTAGCCGCCTACCTCATGTGCTTCCTAACCCTCGCAAGCTTGGCCAGCCCTCAAGAGTGCCCTGGAGAAAGGGCTCCCACTTTTGCAAGGTCTAGATCCGGGTCTTTGTGCTTCGCACCCTTCTCCATACCCATTAGCACAAAAATAGGCCCTGGCTTCCTCTCCTCCACCACCACCTCCACATCCTCCCCAAATGAACACCATTCCCCCAGGATGGGAAAGATCCCAATTCTGAGTGTCCTCCGACCTAGGGCAGATCTCTGGGGATGACAGAGGATGAGTCATAGTCGCTCATGATGACACACTCCTCCCCCACGCTCTCCCTCACTTCCTGCCCTGCTTCCCATCACCTTCTGTTCCCTTCAGAATTCCCACTAGAGCAAGTTCAAATCCTAGTCTAGGGACTTAACAAGCCAGGGCATTTTGTCTCTGGAGCTGCAGTTGTAGACCTGGGAGTAGTTCCTTTACGTGAGAAAAGCCTAACCTCCACCCTGGGCCTGGCACCAAGTTCAAGCTTTGCTCCCGGGATGTGGCTCAGGTGGTAGGGGGCTTGCCTACACACAGGACACCCTGGGTTCCATCCTGAGCACCCATTCCTCGTAAGGAATGCTTGCCTGTAATCCTAGCACTTGGGGGTACAGACAGGACGATCAGACGTTCAGCGCCATTTCAGCTGCACGGCCTGGGCTGCCTGAGAAGTTAGCGCAGAAGCAAAAAGGCAGGCAAGCCCTCTCAGTGGGTGCCGCTGCTGGCTGGCAAGCCTAGGTCCTCGGTTCAGTCCCTGGATCCCACCATGGGAGAAGAGAATCAGCTCCCCCCAAACAGTCCTCTGATCTCCACACGTGCTTGGTGCCACACATCACCACAGCCACCACTACGACATATTTAAACTAAATAAAAATAAGTTTTCACTCTCACGCCTCCTACACGTGCAGCTTAGGGCGCCTCCTCCAAAAAGTCTGTCTGGGTTTACACTCCAGAACTAACTTCACTGGAAATATCAATGGGTCTGTCTTTTTGAGGACAGGATAATCCAGGGAAGAGGGGGATGTGGAGAATTCTCAGACTGTGGTTGAAGGAAAGTTAATTAAAGTAAAAACCAATTCATTCTTCTGTTCCAGATGTCGGGCAGGCCTCCCATGGAGAAAGATGACAGCGTGGGGGGGGGGTGCACAGGGTGCAGAATTTAAACACTGACACATTCTAACCAACTCTGTTGATGGGAGCAGCCAGCGTCCATCCGGCCGTTGAATGTGGCTAGAGAAACTGAGAGACTGGCTGGTTTCTGCCTCCCCACCCCCTTTAATTAACTAAGAGTAATCATAATATAAAGTATTCAACGAGTAGCAGGGTCAACGAAGACCAGATGAATAGAAAGGAAGTTTTGAGTATTTTCTTAGTTTTGTTTTTGTTTTTCATTTGGGATAGTTTCCTTCTATAACCCAGGCTGGCCTTGAACTCACAATACTCCTTCAGCTTCCTAAGCACTGGGATTATAGGCCATGCCTCAGCAAATAGGTTCTCTCCTGTGCACCAACATGGGAAAATTAAGTAATGTCAGAAATCCAAAGGGGCCCACCTGGCATCTTTCTGTAAAATAGACAAGCACACTGAAGTGTATCCTCCTGGGGGCAGTCAGAGCGGATGGTTTCCTTCTTCTAGCTGGCACCATGTGAATGCTATCTTGAAAGGCCATGCTAGGAAGGCTCCTGCAGCTATAAGTGGGTTAGGCTGTTCGTGGCTAGCAGTGCCCATCAATCCCAAGATGGGCCGGGGGCCGGGCAGGCAACGTGTGAGCAGAGCGTCACCCTTCCTGTTATGCCCTGCATCCCTGCCTCCAGCCCCTCAGCTTCAGCCTCCTGCCCCATTCAAGTCCAGGCAGCCACTTCCTCCCTCTCACCCCCACGAGGCTTAGCCTCACACCCGGACCCATCTATTCTGGAGTTCTTGCTGTTTCACTGGTCATGTCTAATGCATCAGCCAGCCTCGTCTGATCTGCCACCAACATCTGGAATCTTTCCTCCCTCCCATGAGCTCTGTAATCTACACCCCAGATTCACTCCCCTACGGTAATATTTGACCATCCATTGCCAACCTTTCTTCCTCAGCCCAAACCACCACCAAAGTGAGCCTCCACAGCAATCGCTAGCTAAAAACTCAAGGTGAAAATGTGGTGTGGTGGCACCTTTTATTGCGGCACTCAGGAGACAGAGGCAGATGAGCTGCTGTGAGTTAACGGCTAGCCTGACTGACAGAGCCCGCTCCAGCTCGACCACGACCACGGCTACCCAGGGGCCCTGTCTCAAAAGCAAACAAGCACAGAAACAAAGGCAGCAAACTTGAGACGGGTGCTGGCGATGGCATTCTGTTGGCTGGGTGTTTGCCAGGTGTGCAGGAGGTTCAAGGATCAGGTTGGCTTCCCAGCACCAGCCCCTCGATGTACACCTGTACTTCCAGCACTCAGGAGTGAGAAGCAGGAAGATCAGAAGTACAAGTTCATCCTTGACTACACACAGAGTCTGAATCCAGACGAGAAAATCTTTCTATGCTGCAGAATCCTATCCAGGGTATGACCCTACACCCTTACACCCTTCCCAGCCCAGCATGGTCTACCTCTGCCCACCAGCTCCACCCCAACGACAGATTCCAGCACACTGCCCCCACCAACACAAATATACTACCCTTGCCCTTATCAAAGGCTCTTCACCCTGACTATGCCATCCTTCTGGAAATTCTTCCTGCAAACTTCAGGCCCTTCTGGACTGACGCTGCCTCTGCCTGATTGTTACTGCCTCCCATTTTTATAATATTTTCACTACGTGGCACCACTCACACAGGGTTATGATTTGTTCCCACACAAGAAAGGACATTTCCTGCCGTCTCCAGAGGTGTTTCCATGACACAGAAAGGAGCGTGGCCCACAGAATGAGAATAAATAAGACAGGCATGGTGGCTTATTTATTCTTAAACACATGACTGCAATTCCAGTTCTTGGGAGGTGGTAGTGGGGAGATCAGGAGTTCAAGGTCATCCTTGACTACAAATATATTCAGAGGGCCTGTCTTAAGAAAAAAAGAAAAATCAGCAGGCCAATGAGGTGGGCCAGTGGGTAAAAGGTGATTGCCATCAGTCCCCAGGACCTGGGTTCAATCCCAGAACACACGTGGTGCAAAGAAAGAAGAACAAAACCCCCAAAATCCCAAAAGTTTTCCTCTGATCTACACATACACACACACACACACTTAAGCTATGGAATTCATACATCTGCGCACACATATGCTAAAAGCAACAAGAAAACCAAAGAAAGAATAAATGAACAAGTGTGGCATAGTGGCCCACATCTGTAACCCCAGCACTCACAAGCCTACAGCAGGAGGATTGCCAAGAGTTGCACACTAGCCTTGACCACACAGGACTGCAGGGCTGGGCTACAGAGTGAGATCCTGGCTAAAAGTGGTTAGAAAAAAGGAAGGAAGCAAGATGAGAAAGAAAAAGAATCAATGCACAGATAGTTTCCACCCTCTTGAAGGCTGACCCCTGACCTCATGTTCGCATGGCGGCTCACCCTCTCCTTTCACCTCTCTTCAGGCTGCATCTTTCTACACGCCTCCTTCATACTGCTATCTCTTCATCCCATCTCTAGAAGGAAACTTTGTCCCCAGAACAAACGTCCACACCCACTCACAGCGTCCAGACATCGGCGCAGTGCAAAGACCCTGCTGTCAACATGGGATTTTGTTGTTACTGCTGTTTAGCCCAGGCTGGCTTGGAACTCACTCTTGCTTCTATGTCCCAAGTGCTAGAATCGCGGGCCTGTGGCCCTGCATCCAGTTCATGCCGCACAGGAGTGTTGATAATCAAACCCAGGACTTTGTCCATGCCAAACAGGCGTTCTACCAAGGGAGCCATACCACTAGCCCTTCAACATAACGCTCATTCTGGTCAGCAGAAGTATGCCAGGTCCCCAAACACACTCGACACACGGCGTCCGGAACCACCTGCCGCCCCTCCTCTCCAGACTCTAGGCGGGCCCCGCCCCTGCCCCGCCCCCAACTCTCATCAGCCCCTTTAAGGCTGGGACAGCACAAGAAGTGCGCCGTCCAGGGTCCGGGCGTTACCTCCAGGCTGAGTGCCATCTGCCGGATGTAGAGCATATTGAGGTCCTCCAGGATGTGCAATCTGTCCTGCATGTCTGTGGCCCCACAGCCCCTTTCCTGCTGCCCAGAGAGTCCCACAGTTCCTCTCCCACTGCTCCCCGGGCTTGACAGAGGTGGCCAGCTCTAGGACAGAATGCAGAGGCTGTCCCTGTCCCTCTGCAGTCCTGTTAGACCCCTCTGGCTTCTGTGACAAAATTTCCTCTCCTAGTGCCGTCCCAAGGCCTTGGTAGCAGCCAAGAAGAGGAGGAAAGAAAGTGAGTTGAGAATGAGCGGGGGTTCCTGGGAGGAGAGGCCAGCTACAGAGGGGGCTCTGGGGACAGAGTGTCCAGCCTTGCGTTGGTGGCAGCTGTTCTCCCAGCTGTGGAAAAAAAAGGTCCTTTCATTCCCATTTTGGCCCCGCCCCCGCCCCGCCCACATCCCTGGCCCGGCGGACGGAGAATGTGCGTGCTTGGAGGGCAGTGAGGGGCAGGCACAGCTGGAGGGGGGCAGGGAAGGGACGCCTCCTGCTGATTCTACGGAATCCCGAGGCTTGTCGGGAGCTCAGTACGGACCGAGAGAGTTCTGGCTTAGTTTGAGAAAGTTAGCGACAGCAGTGTGGACTTGAGGAGACTTGAGCCCAGGGAATGGGACAAAGGGGTGAGTCTGTAATGTGGCCCAACCCCCAGGGTCACCCCTTCCAACGCCGGCCCCCATCCAGCAAGCCCCACCCTGGGCTCACAATTACCTCGCTTTTCCAGCAGAAGGGAGGAGAAAGAGAGAGAAACGCAGGGGTGTGCCTGGCTGCTGCTGGCCCTGCTCCCCTCTGCGGGCCCCTTCCCTTCCAGACAGGAAACTAGCCCCGGGTCCCAGCCAGCTGCAGGCCTGTCCCCCAGCCCCCCACCCCGGGCCGGTGGAGTCACACTCAACCCAGCGGCAGGCCTGGCCCTGTGGCTCCGCCCCGGCTCCTCAGCTATGGCCCCCAAGGCCTGGCAAAACCCAGCGCTGCTCAGGATCACGGCCCTTCCCCCAGGTCCCACACCTCGCCACGCGCGGGCTCCTTGGGTCTAAGCTTCTGGGGCGGGAGGGTGACAGAGGCGCTCCACGAGCATCTGACTCAGAAAGCCCGGGACAGCGGTGTGAAAGAGCCTTTGTTCTGGGCAGCCTGGAGGGAAAGGGCAGAAGCCAGGCCTGGAATCCCAGGCGGGGGGGTCGGGGGGGAAGCTGGGGGCTGGGACGCTTAACCCTTCCCAGGCCGGGAAGGGACAGAGACTTAGAACTGGGACCTCCTTGAGCACTAGGAGGCTGGCCTTGCGACGTGAGTCTTTTCTTCGGGGTGGCTGAGCCTCTCTGCCGGCTCAGCCGTGCGCCTGCAGCGCCTCCTTAGTTTAAGGACTCAGCATGGGGCTCAGAACAGGGGCACCCTGCTGTGGAGATGACCTCAGGCTAGAGGCTGGCCTCCTCTTAGGCCCCAGAAGGGAGATGGAAAGTTGGGTGTGGGAAACCACTCCACAGTTACACACACACACACACACACACACACACACACACACACACACACCCGAGTGTGTATGCAGAGAGAGAAAGAGAAACTGACTTTTTGCCCTTCAGGACTGACAGGAGCATACAAGTCACAAAACTGTGGAGACAGCGGAAGCTGGCTTAGGGGTCCACACAGAGTGTGGGGTGCTGGAAACCAAGAGAAGAATACAAGAATTGGAGGATGCCTGCTGCCCAGCGTCCTTGGCCCAGGATGCTGAGAGCTTGGGTTCAGACATAGTTCGGGAATCGGGTTTAGAGCCCTCACACTGAGGCCAACAGGGACTTTTCCAGGCAGAGGCAAATTACCCCATCCAGGCCATGCGTGACTTGCACGGATCAGATGGACCCTCACCCTGTCCACACCTGGCTTTCCAAGTCAGCAACTTGAGCTAGAGTGGACCCAGATTGCAGCGCGCCCGGGAGGCAGGTGGTCAGGGCTGCCTGCCAGCGCTGGGGAAGGAAGGCAGGGACGCGGCCTCTCACCTCCGGAGGGTCGCTGAAGACACTAAGTCGGAAGCGGCCGCGTTTGAACTCCATCTCCAGGGCGGAGCCCCTGGCCACTGTGACCCGGCTCCGATGGTTTCGAGAGAACATGCTGGCAGACCCTGTGCGCGCCCTGCGCTCCGGGGATCGGTCTCTCTCGTGCTCGGGCTCCGGTCCCTCGACGGCCGCCCTCCCACCAGCGCAGCCGGGAATCTCCCCAGCTGCCCGGTTCCCAAACTCCGCCCCCGGAGACGACACCTGGGCTGGGCAGGGCGCGGCACCCTCCTCTTCCACCCCCGCTAAAGGCCGGGCCCGTACCGGGCGCCAAGCCAATTTGGGTCAACAGTTTCCGAGCCAGAGGCACCCTAAACCACTCCAGCACCGCAGGAGAGCGTCCACCCTTCTGGCTGGGTTAACTCACCTGCGCTTGGAGCAAGTCCCCAAGTCCCCTCCCCTGCAGCAGCCCCCACCTGTCAAACGGGAGTCCTGGAGCTCAGAAAACACCTTAGTCACACGGAAAGCTCATTTCTTTCTGGTTCTAGCCTGACTTGGGGCCGCCCAAGTCTCACCTCTTAAGCTACAACTTCCTACATGTATCTCTCTACTCGTACGTATCTCTCTCCCATTTAGGTTCCCCTGCCCATCCACAGTGGCCTCGATTCATAAATAGGGCTTCAGAGGGTCTTGAAAATCCACCAGCTTCCCTATTGGACCACAGAACCGTGCTATGAAAACTGTCCTTGGGAGTGAACGTGACGCTGTGCCAGGGGAGGCAGTGTAAGCAGACCTGAGAAGACGGAGGAGCAGGCGCTCAGATGCAAGCAGCTCCAGTCACCGGGGTCTTCAGAGCGTCCTGAAGGAGCCGGCCGCTTTTCTTGCTGGGCAGCAGAGCCCCCTTCCTCTCTCCCTGCCCTACGGGAGCAGGGCTCTGTCCCCTTCCCACCGGAGCTCAGCGACATGAAGGCAATGGCAGAGGGCCGGCTAACTGCACCCTCATAGGGTCTCCGGAGCCTTCAGAACTGGCCGGGCAGCCTTCGAGACAGGGTGGAGCAGAACAGAAGCCAGCCCGAAGGGAAGCCAACTCCCAAGCGCTGCGACAAATGACTCCATAGTCCTTTAGAAAGTGGACTTAAAGTCACCTCAGCAAAGCCACTTTGAGAGCACTGGCTTCTCCACCTGATAAATCCAGGGTCACGCTTTAGCTGTGGCTTCATACACCCACTGCTCTATTTCCCTTCATGCTGATCTTAGCCTCAACAACACAAGATTGCTGTCCCAGATTCTGGGACTTCACCTTTTCAGACTTCAATTCAACAGAAGAGAATAGGAAGATTCGTTGCTTGAGGCTTCTGCTGGTCACACCTGAGTCACTTGTGCACTCCTAGACAGCAACTAGAACCCAGTCAGCTGGAAAGGAGAGAGGGGGAGGGAGAGGTGTTCCTGGGAGGCACAGACTGCCATTCCTCCAACAGAGAGGTTCCTCAAAGGATGTTTCGGGTGCTACCACTATGTGAGGGATTGAAAGGAGGCAGAGCTTGTTCATCCTCATCCAACACACACAACTATGATACTTGATATAAACCCAAGTGATGCATGAGGGAAAAGAAAGAAAGGCATGTCTGAATCCCTCCACTCCACATGTCCACTATCACTGTCTCATGTGTCAGCTTTCCAGAGGGGCAGTCTGTCTTGTCCCTTTCTTTTCCCCTATGCATCACAAGTGCTCAATAAGCATCAGTTGAAGGAAAGAAGCACACTGATCTAAATGCCTTGTTTAGCAGTCTCATTGGACTAAAACAGCTCATTGCCCATCAGGAGCAGCCATGCTCACTAGCAAGGCCAGCACTGTTGAGGCTGAGGCAGGAGGATTGCTTGGAGTTTAAAGTTAACCAGTACTACCCAGTGAGACCTCTTCTCAAAAAGGGAGGGGGATATGGATATGAGCAGTGGCCCAGCAGTTAGGAGTGCATGCTCCCCTTCCAGAGACCCTGAGTTCAGCTCCCAGCATCCAGTCAGGAGGCTCGCACCTGCACATCACTCCAGCTCTAGAGGCATGCAATGCTCTGGGACTCCTCAGGCCCCTGCACACTCTCTCTCTCTCTCACACATACACAGAGAGCGAGAATAAATATTTTACAAAAATCATTCGTCAAGATAAATATTAACTGGAACAGGATGTAATTCAGCAGCAGGTACAAGACCCTAAATTCAATCCCTAGTACCATAAAGAACTCGTGAGGTTCATTCCCAGCCGGGGGCTGTGGCAGAGGCAGGAGGATCTCTGTGAGTCTGAGAATGCCTAGTGAGTTCTAGCCAGAACTAGATAGTGAGACCCTGACTTAAACAAGCAAACAAAAGCTCAAAAGTTTATTTCCATGCACAGAACCCATTTTTCCAGATGAAATTTGACCTGGGCGGGGGGGGGGGGGGAGTGTGGGGTGAGGCTGGAAAGATGGTTTAGGGATTGAGTGCACTAGCTGCATTTTCCAGAGGATCCAGGTTCAATTCCCAGCACCCACACGGCAGCTCACAACTGCCTGTAACTCCAGGATCCGACACCCTCACAAGACCTATAGAAAAAAACACCAATAAAAATAAAAATAAATTAAAAAAAGAAAGAAATTTGACCTGGAATGTGTTATTCCACTCTGGATCTGAAGGCCGTAGCAGGTGCTGGAGACTCTCACCTGCTCTCAGCATCTCTGCAGGGTGGGACACACGACACGCTCTGAGACGCAGGCGAGACCTAAAGAAACAGATTCCTGGAGAGAACGTTGAGCTCAAGCCCTATCTGAGCTCTTACATGCCTCAGAGTGAGGGCGTACGGAAAGGAGTGACACAGGAAAGCAGTGACATCTCAGGAGTTAACACTTGGAGGCTTTTTGTGTGAAGCAGAGGGTTTTTGTCAAAACTAAAGCAAAGATGAGCCAGGCAGTAGTGGCTCACGCCTTTCATCTCAGCATTCAGGAGGCAGAGGCAGGTGGATCTCTGAGTTTGAGATCGACCTGGTTTACAGAGTGAATTCCAGGACAGCCAGGGCTACACAGAGAAACTATGGCTTGAAAAACCCAAATAAATAAATAAATAATAGGGCAAAGACGACCAATGTCAAACACTCTTTACTTCCTGGTCTTTTTGCTCTTATCTCCTCAGGTGATTGCTCTTTCTGTCTGCAGAGTAAAAATGTTACATTCTGGTATGAGATTTGCATATCACTGCCCGGTGTGTGTTTAGTGACCTTTCTGTTTGAATGGGCCTCAGTGAGAGTATTTATGTAACAGACTAGGTGGACACTGTAGATTAGGGCTGATTTTTTC